GTCACAGTAAATGTTCTTCCTCCTTCAGTTTTACGTTTGATAACAGGGCGAGCAATATTGAAGTTGGCATACCTAGTCTGCCGTGAATGAGTGTCGCTATTAAGCTTAAGTAAACTTTTAAGATAGGTTGGTACATGCCCCTGTAAATGCTTGTATATAATACAGCATTTAGTTAGTTTAGCCTGTTCGAAAAATGGTATCCAGTAGTGGTAGTATTAGACACTGTAGTGGTTATGTACAGTTAGGAATTTTTATAGTTTAAATTTTTTAAACATGTTGTATATAACACAAGTACTTCAGCTTATAGCTGCAAGTTGTGAGTTTAATAAACGATTTATCTGTCTATCTATTTATCTATCTTGTCACCTACATAGCCTATTGCCAAGTTTAAGATGCAGTCAGTTTAACTAGAAAAGTTGGAGGTGAATTATTTGTTCATGCTTTAAGAAACCATGTATTTAAGACAAATTTACTGCATGAATTGAGACAAACCATAAGATTTATATTGTTATTCATTTCATGTAAGTCAATTGGTGATTTGACAGAATGATTCTTTCAATATGTCATGCTCACTGGAAAACACTACTCATGCTAAGCTTGCCCTATCACTATGAACAATGAAAGTTGCCTCATAGTGGAAGCAGATGCTTGCTAAAAATAAACTCTGTAAAGTAAATGACAGCCTTTGCTGGATTGACTTCCAAATTTTTTTGTTTGCTTGTCATTGTTAGTACCATTATGCTCTTTAAAGGAACAATTATTCAGAACATACATGTCAATCTAAAATTTAATTTTTTATTGTAATCTAAGAGTAGGGGTGGCGAATGGTAAATGCAAAACTTTGCAAGACAGCAAGACTAGAGTTTTTCTCTGCAAGCCCGAGACATTTTGTCTTTTCAGATTGCAAGACCGAGACTTCAAAGTGTTTTGAGTGCGAGTGTGAGATGTTCAGACTTTTAAAATACGAGCCCCAGATTTAGTTGAGAGCTAGAATGAGCTTGCACAGCCTTTTAGCCAGCTTCTAACAGGCTGGAAATTTGGTTATAACACACGTCATAATCATATCCTAGAACAAAATAACTGTTTTTTTGGTGCCAAAACGGACGTTGCAGTAGGTTTCGTAGCTTTTTGTGGAAATCACACAATTTAGGAGAAGTTAGGATGATGATTTTCTCGGAAATTTGAGAGTTGCTTCAGTCATTGTAATTCAATATTAAGTGACGAGAAGACATCATTTACAAAAACAGATAATGAGTCGGGACTTTGAGCCCCCTAGCCTTGCAAAAAATCGAGATTGTGTGACGTACATAACCACTAAAAAACGAGACTGTAAGACCTGTGAAACTGAACTAAAATTTTGCAAGATTCAGAGTTTTTGAAAAACCATTCGCCACCCCTAAGAATGTTAATCTAATGCACTCAAATAAACCTACATGTACTAACATTTACCATCATAACTGTGAAGTAATTAATGTAATACAACCGATCCTCCAGTTGTGGCCACCTCTCATAAGCGACCAGCTCTCCTCACCAACCAGTTAATTCCAAAATACCAAAATTTTCTGGGTCAAATCACTGTGTTTGGAACTTCCTGTAGGCAACCAACTCTTGCAAGCGATCGCAACCACTTTTAGAGCTAAAACTTTGAAATTTTGTTTTGTTTTTAACCTCCCATAAGCGTCCACTTGATAGATAATAGAGTGGAAATTGGATAATAAGGTGTTGTTGATTTGACTCATTATGTAGTTTATCAGAAGTGAACCATAATACTCTGAATAAATACTTTGAAAAGCTTAAACATTTTGGTGGCTACTAAAAGTTATTACATGGATTTAGATAGGCATTGGCTTACGAGGTAAGTCTCTGCAGTTAACATATGTTAATGAGGCAAAATTTTGACCCAATGTGGTCTGAGCTATCGTAAATAATAATAATAATAATAATAATAATAAT